AGATTAGCTCTTTCAACACGTCTTGCTTTGACATCGGTAACTCGCTGGCCAACTTTTTGAAACACTTATATTCCCTGCCATCCCAAACCCATTCGGCAGTTGTGATGACATTGAGCTCCTGGGGGCAATTGCTTGAGGTCTTCCTTCCACTTTTGGGCGTTTTCTCGATAAAAGCTAAATTTGACAGCATCTTGCTCTGCTTTTGGCTAGCCAAGAGTTTATTGCCTTTCTTTGCCATATTGTCAGCTTTCTCAGAATGCGGGTATTTCAGAAGAATGTCAAATGAGTATATCACACAACGACACAAAAAAAGCTTTAGCTTTTGCATAAGACGTAAACAAAGCTGAAGCATGAGTTTGCCTGAAAGAAAACTCAAGACAATATTTCATGGCCATTCATAGACGTCGGACTGGCGATTTGGAATAGTGTCTGAAAAATATTTCTACAATCGATTTTTTATCTTTTTTTAAATTGCTTGTTTTTGGGATGTGCAACCAAGGATCGAGAGTAAGTTATTCAACTAAAGTTTAATGTATAATGGTAAGGTAAAATGTGATTTTTACAGTTATATGCAGCAACCAGCATCCGCTGTGCACAGGTGTAAAAGCTGTGCCAAAAAACCAAAGCTGATGCGAGCACAAATGAAATGGGGCATTGCTGCTTCAATTATGGTTATATAAAGTTAAATTATTAAATTAATGTTAGCTAAAAATCGGCTTCTTTTGTTGACTTGCTTTCAACCGGCATATTAAAGCTCCAATCGGCGAATGTGCGCAGGGTTGTAGTTGCTTTTCTTGGACAAAACTAGCTGGGTACTTTTAGCAAGAACTCGGTCATCAATGCTTGAGATTTCCGGATTAGATGACTTCAAGTCACGAAACTTGACCTGAAAGAGGTAAGCAAAGATTGATCAGTTGTCAATAGAAATCATGTAAAGTGTGACCACCTACCACACAGCCGACATGCTCCACAGTGGTTTGCCCACCACTGTCTGGCCATTGTTTAGTTTGGACCACCAAGGAGACCTTGGAAGCAGCCACCTCTTCACGGAGTGCGCCCAACCACTCAAAGTGCAGACACAGCTCAATCTCACGTGCGGGAATCCAGATGATTTCTACCGAGTTACTTCGCTGATCGTAGAAAGCGTCAAAGACTGCCTCGACAAAGCGACACTCTCCAAAGTGGACAACAAAGCGCTGGTGAAGGTTGATGTACTCAATGAAGGAACTGAAGCCTCTTGAAGTCGAACGACGAAGTGTGGAGTGGTGATGAGCGAGGCTGATTGTCGTCCGGCACAGAGTGTCGGCCCCAAAGTGAGCCAGTGGCTTCACTTTCAAGTGCACCTTCTGAGACCGAGAGAGATAGGTGACGGGAAGACGGTCTTCGGGATCAACTTGCGCTGGCAGGTCGAGGAAGTACTGCATTTTGCTGCCGGTGTTCTCTTTGCAAACACTACTGAGAGTGCTGCTAAAGGAGTCAGACTCAACTGGAGGCTTCAGTACTGACTGGTATCGGTCGTATCGTGATTGAATCAGCCGACTTAGGGGCTCGGCCCGACCAGGCCAGGTGACTTTGACGGGAAAAAAGTCCACTTCGTGCGTCATGCTCTGATTGTCCTTGATGAACAGAAAAGTGCAAAGGGCAAAGTCGAAGGGCACTTTCAGGGGATGGTTCGCCTCGATGTCACAGAGAAACTGAGTGGCGACTGCGTTCAGGCGAACGTAGAAGAACAGCGATTCAGGCTCATTGGAAGTAGAAGACGGAGGAGAAGGTAGTGGCAAATTAAAGACCAACACCTCTAAACAGGGGTCCTGACTTTGACGGTGCACTTCGCCTGTAGGAGAGTGGTCAGCTGATGGAATGCGAACTTCAATCAGGCTGTCCGAGGGATGGCGGGAGTGAAACTTGGACAGCAGAACTTGATACTGCGAAGCAAGCGCTTCATTGAGGAAAGTCAAGCTCAGTCTCAGCTTCACTTGTGTCCTCTCGGAAATGGAGGCGTCCGAGGAAAGCTGGTAGTTGACCTTGTACCACTGTCCCTTGTTGAGCAGACACACTGGCTTCGGCTGGTCGGAGAACTTTCGCACTGTGGTCGGGCATTCCAGGGCAAAGGTGAACATTGGAGGTTGGTCCTCTTCTTCTTCTTCGCCTTCTTCCTCTTCTTCATAATCTTCATCCTCATTCTCCTGATCCAGCTCAACGGGCTCCAAGGAGAGGTCACTGTAGGAATCGGAGGCCAGCATAGTGAAGTGTGTTTCAAATGGGAAAGTGAAAGCAAGTCTGTTGTCGGTCGAGTGGCGAAGCAAAGAGAACTTGATTTGACTAGCTCACAACAAGTTTTACCGGTAAATGTCTGGTGCGATTTGAGTGCCACACTGTAATACAGCCCATTGTGCTGCAACAGTTCAAGTTGCTCATCAGGTTATCAGGCTCATGGTAAAAAATTGATAAATACAAGTTTTATTCAGTAACAGTAAAGGTCATTTTTGTGAAAATATAAATGGCACAGGTTTTGGGAATACTGTAATGTTTTTTCTTTTACTTCTAGTTTCCATTCATAAAAGCCAAAAAATCGCCAGAAGGATCGTCTGGAAGAGGTTAATTAGATTAAAAATACACAATTACCTCTAGCGCTTACCAGTGATGATTGACAAATTGAAATCAATTTCCAGGCTTTGACATACCATAGAGCCTACAATATCATCTGTCATTGGCGTGTCTCCAAAAAAGATGGCAGCAGATTTAACTGGCTGAGAAGCTTGCTTTCGACAAATGAGATCCAGAATCTTTAGCTCCAACTCAGCAACTGTGAAATGCTCTAAAAAGAATTGCTCCTGCAGAGTGAACAGTTCTGAAAAGCAACAAAAATATTATTGTAGAAACAGATCAACTACTCAAGTTACTTACTTTGCCCATCCAATTCTACAGATGCAATTTTCAGACTAATTTTTTTCTCGCCTTTGTCAACAGAGCTAATGATTGGATACAGTTTGGCTTCACTCGATTCAACCTCTTCAGATTCTGGTGCATTTAGTTGAATCTGTTTTTGAGGCTTAAAAGAAATGGAATTCTTCATAATGGTGTAGTCTTCACTGGCATGGCTTTCTGAAGAGCTAGTAGTGTCAATTTGAAACTGGTGAGAGCTTGTGCCTGGACTGAAGACACAAATCTAAAGTAGAAAATGTGTGATTTTTATGTTCAAAAATCATTATCGATGCAGCTACTTACCTTGCACTCGCTTTGATCTAAAATCTGACCATTTGTCATTTCACTCGTTTGGACAATAAGACTCATATCTATCTCTGAGACGCGGACAAATCGGGCAAGTTTGCTGCTTTCCACATTGAACATTAACATCAATTTAACTTCCTTAGTTTTGCCTGGTGACCAAACCAAGTTAGCTTCATTGCAACCGTTTTGATAAAGATCGTGAACACTTTCGTCCAGTTCGCTGCTGTATGGATGGACGCTAAAGGCAAACGTCTGACGACTGATGATGGACCAATTGGTGAGAGCGGCGCTGAGCTTTGAAGCACTAACAGAAGAGCCGAAATCGAGAAATATTTTTGTTTGAAAAACTCCCGAAAGCTTTGATGAATCAAAGTTCGTCGGCTTAATCACTAGACCGTAAAGCGAGTCTTTATCAATGTAAGTGCCATTTTGAGAGAAATGCGGCGCTTGCAAAACGCACACAAACATTCGGTCATCTAGCTGATTGGCAGGTTTCTTTGCGACGACGGAACTGGGCGGCAAATCATCTGTTTCACGGACGCTTTCAGAAACTTCATCACTATTGGCAGTGTTGGCGTGTGGATTGAGAATGGTCTGAATGAGCGAATACTTGTTGGGGCAGGCAACGTTGGGGTTTTTATCGAGCAGAACAAAGCGGTCAGACTCGCAATTGAACTTGGAGCGGCCATTCCAAAATGTGCGAACCTTAGTAATAGTAACAATAGTTAAATTAAGTATAAAATCACGAGTGTAGCCTACCAGACACAGCGTAGTATCAAGCAATGTTCTGCTTTCTTCGGCGTAGGTGCTAACGATGAGATAGAAGCCCATCGGTGACATACTGATCACAGGAATCTCTTTGTAGAACTGACTTTCCAGGCAGTTTATTTTCACCTTAAACTTGACTTCTTTGCTGCCGTCAACGATGTATCGAGCCAGATTGTCCGGTTCCTTGTTGTACTGAACAGTTCCGAGCGACTCCTTCTCCGGAGAATGGATCTCTTCAAGCTCCAAAAGGCGGCACTCAGGATGGCGGTCGAACCAGCCACTGATTAGCTCGTTTCGACTCTTTCGATACTCTTCATTAACGAAATCTAGTTTGTAAATGTAGAAGAGAGGTTAGAATCTCTGACAACAATGCCTGTAACGTTTTATACCCAATTGAACTTTCAAGTATAGTTTCTCTGAGGGAGCCTCCTTCATGTCAACGCAAAACTCGTACCACTCTCCTTGATTCATGTAGAAGACAGGCGCGTCCATGGAATGCTTAATGACAGTAGGCACATTGAGGAGGTACTCAAAGGACCCTGAACCAGGGCGTATATCCTCAATTCCCGACATTTCATCCATTTTTTTGTCGTTGACGTAAGATGAAGGAAGACGTAGGAAAACAAAAGATGATACGCTCCGATTTGGTTGCTATCGTCGCTGCTATTGCTTATCACCGGGCACTATTATTGTTGTTGTTAGACGAGCGACTGGCAGATGGTGGCTGTAAACATGGAAGATAGCTTGATAGATTACAAAAGGCTGGCAACAGCTGTTGACTGCAAAAAGCTAAAACGCGCTTTTCCAAGAAATGAGAGCTTTCTTCTCTGAGTCACCCTTTGACATGGCCCACTGTTGCAATTGTTGCAAAGTCTACTCGATAGTCATGCACAAGTTGACACTCAAATATAATTCTCATGAAAATGATACGAAAATTGTTGCAAATGTTTACACAATGTAGAAAACACATAAAAATACATAGCTCTCTCAAATTGGTTTGCTTACTTTTTTCGCTTAAAGACCAATTTCTCTTGGCCGACGGCCTCTTCAGGTCGAATCGTCTCAAAGACATCGTCAAACTTGTCTACATCAGCGTACACCTCACCGTCAGCAGGCTTCCGGAGCTCCTTGGCCTTTTTCGCTTCCTGCCGGTCCTTGTACTTCTCTGATGCGGCCCGTTTAATGGCAAGCCTGTGCTTTTGCGGTGCGACGTAGTGCGGGTTGCTGTACAGCACTCGACCGCCAAAAGATCCTTCAAAGATTTTAATCAGGTTCAAGTCAAATCGGGGTCCAATTTCTGCAAGTGAGCCATCCTCTGCGACAATTTGATAGTTTCGGAACCAGATGCGGTGGTCGAGAATAGTAAAGGTGAGAACGTGGTCAAAGAAAGGCTGTGATTTTGGGTGCCCATTCGGCACGCCAAAGGTTTGCACTAAAAGCTCCTTTAAAAGGGCGTAGTGAGGCGCAGAGTCAAAAAGTGGATCGAAAGACAGCAGTGGGCGAGATGATTTTAGCGAGTTTCCTGGAAGACGAAGTTCGCCCATATTGTGAACTAAAAAAGAATATTTAGGTTACATTTTACTCACAGTACTTCTACTGTTACTTACTGTTTTCTACTAGAAACTTGGCCGTCGGTCCACTTGGAACGTTGCCAATCCACATGTAAAGATCCTGTCGACGGCGATTCTCAAAAAAGATGGCTTTGTTGCAGTTGCGAATTTCACACATTTCATTAAGCGCGATATTTGGGTCTTTGGTGTCCATTTTCGGTTCTAGTGGAAAAAGTGTATATTAGAGTTTTGGTAAACTTTACAATCATATAGTGCCTTACCAGATTTGGAGTGAGGCAACATTGTTTTGAGGTTGTTCATTAAATGGCGATCTCTGTAGGTGATTCCTCGCGAGGCGACCACCATCAGACGTTGCTTGTTGATCCATTTAGATGCCTGAAAAAGTATTTTGAAATGCTTAGCCTCGCACAATGCAACATCACTAGACTTACTTGAGTCTGCACAAGTGGTTCATCGGATTTCCTGACTGGAGCAATGACAATCGCATTCTCTTGTCCCTCAACCTTTGATTGTTCTTTAGTGTTTTTCTTTTGCAGTAGTTGCGCTTTCTGTGCGGCCAGTGCTTTGCGCAGTGCTTTCTTTGACGGCTTGCTTGTGTTGTTCTCCTTTGCAGCAACCTTTGGAACAGCGGTTGGTGCTGCGGGCTTTTTGGCAGTCTTCTTAGCCATCACAGTCATGGATGAAAAAGGTGATTCGAGATGCAAAAAAGCGGAGAAATTCAAACAAAATAAAACTTTTTGATGCAGAATCCAAAACACAGAAGCACGTGTGCACTACTATTTTGCNAGCGGAGAAATTCAAACAAAATAAAACTTTTTGATTTTGATGCAGAATCCAAAACACAGAAGCACGTGTGCACTACTATTTTGCATGAGCAGCGTAGAAAACACGAAATAGACGCTGTGAACTTGATGGGCCGCAGCGCACCATCGCTGTGGGCAGGAAAGCCCACTTTTGATTTTGAAAATTCCGGGACTCAAAAGCTAATGTGTCCGAGTTTACTGTTGTCTGCAATTTTTAAGTAGAAACCGTAGATGGCACTTACATCTCGTTTGATGCTTAGTTTGTGATAAGTTGTAAATGAAAATTGTTGAAAAGACCAATCTAAAAATAGACAAACAGGATTTTTATCTTCTTGTAGTGGTTCAGCCGAGTCGACTGATCACTAACCGCTACATTCTTCTATTAAAATTTTCCCCCATTTGAAAAATTTAAAAGTTCCAAAAAACGTTTTTAGTTAGATCACTATTTTAAATAACATAATAGTATTTGCCATTACTTACATTTACATTCACTGTTGTTCTTTTCATCTCTCCATTTTGGGACGCCTAAATTCAATTACCAACACATTTTAATTATCTTGTTTTTGCTTAGATCCCTAACCCTTTAACTTCAGGAAAAAGCCAACAAAAATATGTCATTTAAAAAATAACTAAAGAGAGCGCAATTTAATTAGAAGAAAAATATCATGTCAAGGGCAGAGTCCGGATCTTTGGCCCTTTTTGCTGAATTAAATTAAAATTAATTTAATTTAATCATGCAATGGGAAGTTTTCAGCAAGCTAGCACATCAATTGTTTAGTCAAACAGGACTTTTTTGCCGGTCAATGAAAAAACTGACACAATAGAAACACCAGTTACAATGAAAACTTCAAAAAGCAGATGAATTAATTGAAAAGCCATTAGCATATATTAAGATGCTTCGATCGACGGGGAAGATGACTAAATGTTAGCGTGCAAATAAAGAGGATGAGATATTGAGAAAAGCTGGTGATGCAAATTTCCTTGAATTTTACATAAACTCTCTTCTTTTCTTTTCAATTAAAATTGATTAAATTTTAAACTAATTTCCGTCGTTTCTGTCTCATTCCCGGACATGTTTGAACTTCCGATTTGGTTTAGACAAAATGAGCTTAGCTGTGGTTTAACTGAAAGAATTTGACTGAACCTAAAAAAGCAAAATTGTTCAATAAAAAGTTTAAAATTTTTAAAAGAAACCTGACATGTTTAAACGTAACTGCTTCATCTAGGTGCCAGTTTTTTTATTATCAGCCGTTTTTAAAAGTCATCGAAAAAGGATCAATCATTTTGGTTGAAGTTTCTTTATAAAAGAAACTTTGATAATGTCAGTTAGGTCAATAAGCGTTGTATTGATTGAGATGCACTTTGTTATTTTAAATTTTAAAAATAGTTTTTTGATAAAGTAAAATACACGAGGCTGTAAAATTATTCAAAAAGTTGTCTTTAATTAAAAAATTATAACAGTTTTAATAATCAATAAGCTTTTTATTTACAATAAAAATATTTTATAGTTATAACAGAATTGTAATAAATGCTTTGTAATAGTCGATTTAACTGCAGAAAGTATTGAGCTTTTTAACTTTTTTTAAATGATCATTTTTGCATTGCTTCTGATGGTAATAAAGTATTTTTGCTGATACTAAAATTTGCGTTTCTAGCAAATTATATCCATTATGAAGTGTGTGGACAACGATTGTAGAGAATGCGAGATGTTAACTTTTAGAGTGGCTGTCTACTTTACTCTACAGTGGCAATCATCGCCTCTCCAGGATCAAGTTTAAGTGCCTTCATGATGAGGAATTCACTCGTTCGATTGGCATTTGTGGCCAGTTGGGTCATGGAAAAGTAAAACTTGTCGCTAAAGTCCTTGATGAGTGTCTCATTGCCCAGATTGACAAAGAGCACATAGCGGTAACGGGTGGAGGGAGGCACTGCTGGCACTGACTGGCTCACCGAGGAGTCAAAGTCCTCCTGGTGCACAGTTCCGCCCACTGGCTGGCCGCCGACGCCTGGGCTGCTGCTGGGGCTGGTGCTGCGACGGTCAAAGTGCTGCTCTACGACGACAATGCTGCTGTCGATGTAGTGGAAGAGGTAGTTGGTGGAGCTGGGAAGAGGACGCCCCGACGGCTGCACGTCACTGTAGAGGTGGTCCAGGCGAAAGTGGTGCAGGTCAGAGATCAGTTTCACCCAGGACTGTCGTTTCTCCACGTTCACTCGGGCATAGTCAGGGTGCACTGGCATCCACAGCGCCGGATTGCTGATGTTCAGCAGACTGAAGTTGCCATTGGGAGAGTGCGACGACCAAGGCATCGGAGTGAGCTGCCCGCCGCGGTATTTCTGTGCGGGGGAATTGATCAAAGGTAAAAGATAGGACGGTTATTAATGATGATGATGGTTGTGCGTTTTAGTTAACAAAACGGCTACATTATAAATTCACGTTTACAAAAATGGCTGTAATTAAGTTTCGTCCAATTAGTGTCATTTTAAAGTAAATTAATTTATAATTAATCATCCGCCATTATCTTTTTATATAGCAAACAAACACACACACAGCCTTTCTTTTTGACTGAACCTAATGTAAATTTTAAATTATAGAAATTGGTGAATAAACATTGCAGTACATTTCAGGTACAATAGTCGATCTTCTGAATAAAGTTGTTAGTAATTATCAAAAAATGTAGCAAAGCATTTTAATGAGCAATGCCCCTTGCTCATTAAAGCAGCAATCAATGACAATTTACAAATTTAGAAAGCATCTCCCAAACAAATGGCCAAACTTTGCCGGGAAATGGCAAATGTAGGCCAGCATGAAAGCAGCAGCTTGTCGGCCGCGGAGTCCTTCCTACACTTTGTTCATTTGCCGGCAGAATCATTCTAAATCGACTATTCACAAACTAAATGACCGGAACATAAAGTCAAAGTTACCATTTAGCAGCGCCAAAAAACATCAAAATAATGACAGCTAAAAAGAGGAGCCGACAATGCAAACAGATCGATGACGACTGAATTTGTACAAAACAGCCTTTCCTCTCTAAATGTTGACAAACTTAATTTGCTGCCATTTTGCTGTAAATTTGCAAATTTTTTTCTAAAACATCCCAGCAGAGTGCTCTCATTCTTTCTCTTTATATCCGGGAAGTCAAGGCTGCTAAAAGTATCGATTTGGACAGCAGAAGCGGCAAAAATCATCGATAGAAGTTCAGAGAAGAGAACTAAAATATAAGTGAGCCTAAAAAGGCAGCTGCAACTGATAACACAAAGAAAAAACAGATGCAATCGAACCGAAAAAAAGAATAAATGGCCCTCTTTTGTGGCAGTCCACTGTGTGTTTTGGTGAAGTGTACTTACAGGACAACTGCACCGATTAACCAGCCAGAGTGAGTAAGTGAGTGCCTACTGAGTGGGCTTTTAAAATCACTGCTTAAACAAAGTCAAGAACTAGTACTTTCTTTCTGAGCACCTGATACACCCTGTAGCAAAACAGAATTTAGTTCTTCAACTATGTCCAATGCTCTTCTTTTTCTTTATTACGCAAGAAAGTCTCCAAATATGACATGAAATATTCAGTAAAGCAATTATAAGTACGTCAATAAATATTAAATCAAGAGAAAAACGAAACAGAGAACTGGAAAACCTTCAGAGACAGGCTTGACCATCCTTGAAACATCTTCAGTCCAAATGAAAATAGCAAAGACAGCAAAGCTGAAGTGAAGCAAAAGAAGTGTCTCTTTCAAGGGGATAAAAAGAAAAAGATTGACTGACTGGAAAATGGAAGCACTGTTTTAAGCATTGCCAGAGCGGAAACCTGATTTTTCTTTCACATTAAATGAGATTGTTGAATTGTTCTCAGCAGATTTGCAAAAAACTAGTACACTGAGAGCCAGGTCGTTCTATCATCACTTCATATCGAATGATTTTGGTATTTAATAATTCACCGACCAGAGAAAAAGCTTTAACTTTTTTTTATCAAAAATTTTTCGTTTTTTTGCTTTTTCTCTGTGTTTCTCCTTTTTTGCAACCTTTTGCTTCACTAAATCTAAAGCGCGTCGTTGCACTTAAATCTAAATTCAATAAATATTAAAATGTCATCAATTATAGTCATCGCTAAACGTCATCAGCTTTGCCTGCCTTATGCGAACTTCCTTGTCCTATTCTCTTTTTCTCTTTCTTTCAGTCACTTTTCTCAAATCAAATTATCAGCCATAACGATACATCCATTTGCCGATGTATTGCAGAGCACATCGTGCCACTGAAATCGATAGCAATCAAAAAGTAAAAGACAGTGAAAAACAAAACAGGCAAAAAAAGGGACAGACAAGCAAAGGCCATCACTATTCAGGAAACAAAACAGGCATAAAGTGCAAGTATAAGTAAAAGAGATAAGAAGAAAAAATATAAATTATGCTTGTCACTGCAGTAGGACAAATAAGTCACATGTAAGGGCAGTAAAAGGGTAAAAAGAGAATAACACAACTAATGTTATAACATGGCAATAATTTTTCAAACTTTAGAAAACTATAACAAAAAATTGATTAATAAGTTATTTTGTTAATCTCAAGCTTTGATTAATACCAAAGATAATTGTTTTAATTGTTGTTTTGCTGACTTTAAAAACAATTTTTCAAGTTTAAAAGTTTAGCATTAATTTTATTGATCTTTAAAAATCGATCCGCACTTAAAAACACAAAATATAAATTTTAAAAATTAATTGAATTACAAAGCTTTTATCAGATTTTAAAAATGTATTTTTGTGAGCAAATTGGTGTGCTATGTGCAACGTAAATCAATAATTTTGAATTGCAACAGTTGTACAATTTATTTACTAAAATTTAATAGAAACAAATATCTTAAAACATTAAAGTTGTAAGTTGCAATTT